TCCTCTTAAGGTAGTTGTTAACGTCTCTTGAGATTTCTTCTTTGACCCATTGATTTGGTATGTTAAATTTCCACATATTATAAACTTTCCTTTTTCCCCGTTCCTTATATTTAATTTTGGTCCATTGTACTTGGAGAATGTACTTTGATCCCAGTTTTGTAAAAAACGTGACTTCTCTGGGGAATGTTGGTGTGTAGCTCAGTGGTACTCCACTCACCTGGCAGATGTGAAGCTCTGTGTTTAATTCCTAGCACCACAAAAAACCAAAAAAGACTTGCTCAGGCCTCACAGATACCTGGAGAAGGTCCACATGCCCTCTGGAGCAGTGTGCTGCTGCTGCTCTGTAGGTGACGGGCTGCCCACTGTTCACGTGGGTCCTCTCCAGTCTTATCCTCCCACCTGGGTACTGGGTCTCCACTATCTGATTGAACTTCATTTTCCCTCTAGTTCTGCCCTTTCTTGCTTTATGTGTCTTGGCTCTTCTTAACTTAGGAGTGATTTCATGGGATAAATTCTAAGTAGTGACTCGCTGGGTCAGCGCCTGTGCCCTGTGCACCTAGGCTGACCCCTTTGGGACTGAGTCTCAGTCCTTGTCTGAGGAGTTGAGGCTGCCCATCCGGTATCCCCATCTGCGCTGCTGATGGGCAGGACTGAGTGAAGGCCTGGAATGACTCTGGTCTTTTCTTCTGAAAACTGGATGCTTTGTTTACTGCTTTTGCCCCCAGATTGACCTGATGCCTCATGACCTCATCACTCAGCTCTTGCGGGTTCTGGCCATCGAGACCAAGCAGGAAAAGGCAATGACCCATGCTGATCCCACTGAGCTCACACTGAGTGGCCTGGAGGCCTTCTCCTTTGACTATATCGTCAAGTGGCCCCTGTCACTGATCATCAACAGGTGAGGACCTGGCTGTCCATTCAGGCTGCAGGAAGCAAGAGCCTCCTCATGGGCCTCCTCACCTCTGGTGATGCCTGTCTGGGCACAGGCCTCCTGCTGACCCCTGCCTGGGCATCCTTCTTGCAGAAAGGCACTGACTCGCTACCAGATGCTCTTTAGGCACATGTTCTACTGTAAGCACGTGGAGCGGCAGCTGTGCAGTGTTTGGATCAGCAACAAGACGGCCAAGCAGTGCGCCCTGCATTCTGCAAAGTGGTGCGTCCATCAGAGTCCTTGTTCCCTCCAGGAGAGGTGGCTTTGCTTTTAGACCTTCACAGCCACAGCCTTCTCCTCAGTCCTTTGATGGCATGGTACCTGCCCACCTGGGTCTCTCTGCAGGACCCAAGCCCCTCCTGAGGGTGGGAGCCTTTGTCCCCTCTCCTGAGTGCACACAGCAGCAGTGTGTGGGAATTGCTCCACTCTGTGCCCTGGTCTGTGGCAACAAGTCCTGTGTGGAGAAACAGTTGATGTAATATTTAAGAATTTGCCTCAAAAAGGCACAAAATATGGAGTCTGTATAGTAGTTGTTCCCATGTTGGTCGCCTGCCAGCCCTGGTGCCATAGATAACCAGAGAGGCTGTTCTCTGTGTCCACGGTGGGCTGCTTGGCACATCCCTGCAAAGTCTGCTAGATGTGTCGCTTACCTGATAGCCTGATGCAGCCAGAGGTAGGAGCAGTGTCCCTAGGCACAGCACTGAGGTGTCTGAGCTGTCAGCAGCACGCAGGAGCTGTGGCCAGGAGAGTCTACTCTGGTGGTGGGCAGCATGTGGGACACAGTAGAGGCCCAGCTCCGCTGGCTCCCCTGCAACCAACCCTTGTTCCCTCAGGTTCGCAGGAGCCTTCACTCTGCGGCAGCGGATGCTCAACTTTGTTCAGAACATCCAGTACTACATGATGTTTGAAGTGATGGAGCCAACCTGGCACATCCTTGAGAAAAACCTCAAGTCCGTGAGTTTCAGCTCCTGGATCCTGGTGCTGGAAAGGCTCTCCTAGTCCGGGGTGTTGCACAGCAGCATCTCGGGAGCCACATGCTGGGGCTGCCGTGAGCATGTCCTGTTGGAGGGAGGAAGCAGAGAGCAGGCAGCAGCATCTCTCCAACACAGTGACGCGAGGGAGATAGGAGGGGGCTGTGGGACAGGTACTTCCCTATAGATCACAGGCCAGTGCTGTATTTAGCAATGTTTCTGAGGGTCAGGCTGGGTGCTACTGTGGCAGTGCTGAGCCTCAGCCCTTCACAGGCCTCCAACATCGACGATGTCCTTGGCCACCACACGAGCTTCTTGGACACCTGCCTGAAGGACTGCATGCTGACTAATCCTGAGCTGCTGAAGGTCTTTTCCAAGCTCATGTCTGTGTGCGTCATGTTCACCAACTGCATGCAGGTGAGGCGGGGTGGATGGTTTGGGCCATTGTGGCATGCAGCCCTGCCTGTGCCATCTCCAGTGCTGGCAGAGCCCCTGGGTCTTCCCGACCAGTACACTGCTTCCTGAACATGGGCTTCCTTGGGGTCCTGCCCTGGTCCTTTTTGAATCCCTTTGTGTTTTTTATTAAACCTTGAATTTTTTGATGTGCCTAAGTATTCTTGAGGAACTTGTCGTAAGTACTTACCCCAAAACAGTACAGAAAACAAGTGTCAGTGGGCAGAAGGGGTAGCCTGGGGGCTGAAGACTAGGGAGCATGAGCGTGCTCTGCAGACAGCACGTGGGGAGGGGTCAAGATCTGGGAGGTGGGAGACATACATGGTGGCAGGTTACAGAAGAATACATGTGGAGCCTATTCCTTAGATACTTAGGAGCCATATTGAGTTCCAGAGTAGGGAAACTCATGTACAGATTCTGTTTTCAGAAAATCAGCTGCTGATCCCCAGGAGGTTGTGGCTTAGCTGATGCCCTCTTACCTGCACCCTTCCTTCCTACAGGCACCCGAGTGTCCGTACCTTCAGAATGGGCACAGCCCTCAGCTCCTGCAGAAACTCAAGTGTTTTCTGCAGAGCATTACCGTTGGAGCTAACAAGCATTTTCTCTTGACCCTGCTCTAGAAATTTACACAGAGCATGAAACTGGATAGTGAGCTGGGCCGGCGGGCACTGGAACAGGGCACCATGCTGGGGCCACCCACAGAGTCTGAGCAGGCTGAGGAGCACCCCCGGAAGGAGACTGCCAGAAAGGTGCATAGCCTGAAGGCTTTTCCAGACTCAAGGAGTCACCTACCCACTCTTGTGGTTGTCACCCCTGTGATGAGAAGACTCAGTTGGGTTCCATAGGGCCATAGGAGTTCCCATCCAGCCTTCTGGGCTCAAGGGTGTGGCCACAGTCACCTGTAGAACAACTACATGGATGTGATGAGGGCCTGACACTGGTGGGAACGGTAGGTGGCCTGTCAGGTACCCAAGAGCCATGAGATGTCCTTTGGAGCAGGGCCCTCACACTGCAGCTAGCAGAGAGGAGACAGAGGGCAGCATGTGGGGCCTGAGGCCAGGGAGGGTGGGAGACAGTTTGTCTTGCTTCTTGAGAAGTGACCAGGAGAAAGTGGCTGAGCTTGGAAGTCTAGAGTGAAAATGTAGGGTGTGCCACCTTTGGCTCTTAATTGTGTGAGGTCTACAAAAGCCCCAGCCCGCTGGGTGTTTGCTGTCTTACTGTGTGCCACGGCCTCAGGAATTTTTTGACATCCTAATTTCCTGTATTTCGTTGTGTGAAATGTTCCAGTACTCTTTTTTTTTTTTTTTTTTTTTTTTTTTTTAAATTTAAAAAGGAGCAGGGAAGGAGAAAGAAGCAAATGCCCATGGGCTCAGTGCAGAGGCTGACTGCCCATTGGGCTGCAGGCACTCACTACCCTGGGCTATGTTTCTAGTGCCTGGCTGAGCACATGGATGCCCCTCATCTGGTCTCTGGCTTTGAGGCCACCATCAACAGCTTTGATAAGAACTTCTCCGCCCACCTGCTAGACCTGCTGGCCCGTCTGAGTGTCTACAGCACTAGCGACTGTGAGCATGGCATGGCCAGTGTCATTTCCAGGTCTGTTGCCACCTGCCAATGCCCCTTCCCCTGGACCCTTGCTCCCCCTCCCTTGGCAGGATGGTGGAAGGAAAAGGATCTAGCTAGGGCTCCTTGAGCTGGAGGAAGTGGGGGGCTTTGAGAAAAGGGTTCCCAGCTTTTGCCAGGAGAGGGTGATGTCCCGCATGCCCTTGGGAATGTGCCCGCGTGGACACTGGGACCACCTGGTGCACTGTGCCATTCAGCCATGTCCCAGTTCCTGAGTGTGGGCTTCTGAGGTGGCCCAGCACTGAGACTTGCTGGGAACCCAAGTTCCCGTCCCTGGGGTCCCCTCAGGCTACTGTGGCCAGGTGATGTGTCAGAGGCCAGGAGAGGAGTCTATGTGCTTCAGTGGCCATACCCTCCAGGAGAAGGCTGCCGAGATGCCCGTCAGCACTGCTGTCTGCCTTTTGGTTTCTGTGTGTTTGAAGATCCCTTCTCAGTTTTGCATAAAGAGCTGAGGCCTGTGCTGGGGGGCTTGCACAGGCAGGAAGAGCACACGCCCCCTTGCCTTCAGCCAGGAGAGGGCCTTGAGTTGTGTCTAATTTGACCCCTACCTGTGTGGAGAAATGGTGCCACCAGCACAGCGTCCTTGCATGTCCCTATAGCCATGCGTCTCAGTGGGGCTTTGCCCACCTCTCCATGAACCCTGGCTCTCTTTCCCTCCTCACAGGCTGGACTTCAACGGCTTCTACACGGAGCGCCTAGAGCGCCTGTCTGCAGAGAGGAGCCAGAAGGCAGCCCCTCAAGTACCCGTCCTGCGGGGACCCCCAGCACAAACACCCAGGGTGGCGGTCGCCGCACAGTGAGCCCCTGGCTGCAGCTCACAGGAAGGGCTGGGCCAGGTGTGCCATAGTGCAGATGGGCTTGGGTCTGAGCACCTCCTTCCTGGAGCACGTGTTGTGCGGTTGTCCTACTTAGACACGTGTGTGGTGTGTGTCATTGCTGTAGAGTGCTGTCTGTATTGCTGTCTAGCTCAGGGCTCCTCGTTCTCCAGGCGCTGGGTGTCTTGATGTGCAAGCTGCCCAGTGCAGGGTGAGGTCTCCTGGACTTTCCTGATTTATCTTTTAAAATCAGGCTTCACCTTTTTTGGTGTTTTTTGTCTCAAATAAAGACAAAGTAAAAACAAGGCATTTGATTATAAGATGTGGTATAGGTGCCTGGCGTGGTGGTGCACGCATGTAATCCCAGCAGTTCGGGAGGTTGAGGCAGGAGGATTGCAAGATCAAAGCCAGCCTCAGCAATGGTAAGATGCTAAGCAACTCAGTAAGACCCTGTCTCTAAATAAAATACAAAATAGGGCTGGGAAGTGGCTCAGTGGTTGAGTGCCCTTGAGTTCAATCCCTGCTATCAAAAAAAAAAAAAACATGGTGTAGAGGATGAGAGCTGCCTGGGGACTAGGGCTGCAGGTCCTCAGCACTGCTTGCTTCAGACACTAGGGTGCAGCAGTGAACCTTGTTGTGAAACCACGCCTCTGGTGCCCAGGCAGCTGCCTCCTCCCTGGGGTGCACCTCCTGAGGAGTGGTGCTGAGACCCTTCTCCTGTCCCCTGAGGGCTGGGTTCCCTCTGTTCATCAGATGCTGGCCTTGCTCACTAAATGACTGACGTTCTGCAGTGGGCAGCCCAGCTGTGGCACTGCTTGGCCAGGGTAGCGTGTTCTGGTCATGCCCAGGTCAAGCTGCCCTTCTGCTGAATTTCATGTATATCATTTTAAAAATCCAGTTCTACACATCTGTCTGGTGGGCAGTGAGGAAGGGCCCAGGAGGAGTGGTAACCAGAGGCCTGCTTTTGGAGGCTTGGAGCCTCACAGAGGAGGTTTCCTGAGACAGGTTCCAGGGTGGGCAGCTGTGGTGGCTGCCTTGCAGAGGGGCATCTGCAGAGCCAGGGCTGCTTGGCTTCAGCCATCAACTGCTGCTTCCCATCTGCAGCATATGGAGGCACAACTAAGAACACAACGTCCACATGCCACCCCTTTGCCACAGAGAAGTGCCAGGCGTGAGCAGAGGAACTTGTTGGCCTGTGTCCTGGCCCTTCCTGCTATTCCTCCAGGGTTTGCAGGGGGAGGGGGAAGCTCGGGGCTGTGGACTCTGGGCTCCCAGRTCCTCCTGCTGGATCGAGTTGAAGTGGAATTGGGTCTGTCCTGTGGGATGAGGTTCTGTGGGTGTTGTTGGGCTGCGCTAGTTGGCCCTGATTGTCGAGTGTTCGTTACTGGTGCCATCTGCAGTGCTGCTTGGTTAGCTGAGGCTGCCCTGGCAGTGGTGTCTCCTCTCTGCTCTAATGTGACTGGAGATGCGACACCTTGAACTTTTGCTGTCACGTGACTTGCGATCAAGGAACATGGGGAAGAAGTGAAACTGGGTGTGGGTGTTTTTTTTAATGTGGAACACAGTACCTCATGCCTGCTAGGCACGCATTCTAGCATTGAGCCCCATTCCCAGCTTTGGGATGGGCGTGCATAAGTCATTTGTGAGCTCGGGCGGAAGCCAGCCTTACCCAGCAGTCCCTCCCCTGCTCACAGTGGCCTGTGAACTCCTCTAGCAGTGGCACCTGGGACTGATGCAGACAGCAGATGGCTTCCATCTGTGCTACCACTGCCTAGCTTCTGACTCTGCCATCATGCTGGGGCAAGGAGGTGACAGGTTGCCTCCTGCCCCAGCTCAGACCCTTCAGTTCTGTCCCCAGGAAAACATCCAAGGCGCCAACTTCTTGCCACTGCCCCTTTATACTGAGCCTGAAATCTGTCACCTTTCCGTCTCCAGCCTACTGTAGCCATCTCCATGTCTCCCTGTCTGGCCCCTGATCCTCCCCTGCATCACAAGGGAGGCTGAGCTGCTGGGCTCTGCTGAGGACCCTTAGGTTGCCCCTGGCTGGAGTGAGTCTGGGAAGGCTGTGAGGTTGGCCTGCACCTGCACCCCAAAGCCTGGCCAAAAGTGGGGGATGTTGCTGCAAAGGACAAAGGAGGACCCACATGGATCAGGCTCTGATTCTGGGGCCACTCCTGCCCTACAGGACAGGAAGGGCAGAAACCAGGGCTGCACGGGGAGCTTGGTCCAAAAGGACCCCATTGCTGGGAATGGACCCCAGCCTAGGCAGCCTCCACACCTACATGATCTGTGCTGGCACCCGCAGCTGTCTGGCTCCTCCCCAGTGGGGTCTCAGGGGCCTGGAGCAGGGCATAGGGCTGGTCCTGTTTACCCTGCATGGGGTTGCGCTTCCCCTGGAAGTCAGAGGATTCACACACAAGTCACTGCCCCTCAGTTGTCTCCCTGTAGCTGGACCCCACACACAGCTCTGGCAGGCCCGGGAGAGGCGGGGCCTCGTTCTCCCTAGGTACACGTGCGTTACTAGGAGTCGTAGGGAGTGGCAAGGTTCTATTCACACCCATGCCCTTGTTAATTTAGTCGACAGTTATGGGGAGACCAGCAAGAAATGAAGGGGTACCAGGAAGCCACGGGGAAGTGGACTCAGTCTAGCCCGGCTGCCCTGGAGGCCCTCCCCAGGTGCATGTGCCCCGCCCCTCTGCCACGCGATTGGCCAGGCTGGTCCCCAGGCGGGTGCATAGGCTGGAGCCCGCAGAGCTCTCAGTTTAGTTCTTCAAAGACCCTCCAGACCACAAGGAGACCCGGGACAGCACCATGGGCGGCCTCGGGCTCTGGCTGCTCTGTGCACTGTGGCTCCAGGGTGAGTGGGCAGAGGATGGTTCCCAGGAGTCCTCTCAGGACGTGGGGCAGGGTGGCCTTCTGATTGATGGCCAGGGCTCCAACTGGGTCACCTAGCCTTCCTCAGGCTGGATCCTGGGGGAATGGGTTTCGTGGGTGGTCACTCAGAGAGGCCAGAGGGAGGAACTTTGAGAAGTGAACTGTAAGAAGCTGGCGCCTGGGGCGTTTCCCGGTCAGGACGGTTGAGACCACAGGGGTGAGGGTTGCAGGGCGGCTCCAGCTGCCGGAGGAGCCAGGTTCCTGGGTTCCACTGTGGGGTTGCGGGGGGCTGCCCTGGGAGCTTCCTGATGAGGTATGGTTTCAGCCTGGGACTCCTAGAGGGCTGCTTCTTTACCTCTCCTGGAGGTTTGTGAGGTGCTCAGGGACAGAAGTCTGAGGTCGGTGGTCTCCTGGGCCTGCAGCTGGATATCAAGGAGCTTCCAGGACATCAGGAAGCAAGCAGCCTGGGGTGGGGGTGGCTGCCCTCGGCTGCTATGTGCSGTTAGATGGGATCCTGAGAATGTAGGAGACAAAGAGACTTGTCCCCAGCCCCTATGTGTACTTGTCCCAGGCTGGGCTTCCAGGGTCTCTGGCACACATGGTGTGCCACTCCATCTGCCTCCCCCCACTCCTCTGGTCCTGAGGTCTTTAGGCACAAAGCCCTCACCTGGGCTGTGGGGTAAGACCTTCTAGTCACTGGTCCCTGGGCCATTTGGTGATAGCCTCAGGGAGGTGCAGGCTTACACCCGCCTGGGGGCCACTTAGGCAGGAGGCCTTTATGTCTGCTAACCACTCTTACCCCTAGCCATTGCGCTCAGCCCGTCCTTGCCCCCCGTGGAGCAGTATGAGGTGGTGTGGCCCAAACGTCTGCCTGGACCCCGCACCCGCCGAGCTCTGCCCTCCCACAGGGTGAGTCTGATGTCCCCACGAGGCAGCCCCCCAGAGCCTTTCCTGTGGGGTGCTGTGTGGGCATCTGGGTACTGCAATGCACAGCCCCAGGGCTCACAGGCAGACCCTGAGGCTGGCCTCTGCTTCCCGGCTTGACCTGGGTCCCTCCCTCCTGGGCTCACCTTCTTCCTTCCTCCTGCCCCACCCTGTGGCAGAGCCTGGGGCCTGCAGGTGGGCATCAGGCTTATTGCCTCACCTCCAGGAGCCCTGCCAGACTAGGGGGAGGGTCCTCTGGCCCCAGGAAAAGGGCAGGGGCGCTGGTGCTGCTCCACACCACACCCCAGTTTTACTTGGCAGGGGCTGATCAGCCAAATTCCTCTCCAGAAGAGAAGTGGGATGATGGCTCACCACAGGGTTTTGCGTGTGTCTGACACGCCTTCCGGGGCTCTGGGCTGGGCCGGGATTTCCCGGGGCTGGGAACTGAGAAGGGCTCCTGGCCTGCCAGGAGGATTCCTGAAGCCCAGTGGGTGTGCAGACCCACCTATGGACTCTGGGTATCCGTRAGGTTTGTGCTTGAGTGTGAGGATGTGTTTCTAGTGAGGGGCCTGTCCTACCCCGATCTTGCCTCTGTGCCCCAGGAACCTGCCATGGACCCATAGACCTGTCTGCTGCCCTGGGCTCCCACCTGCCCAGAGGCAGATGTGCATTGTCCAGAGGGTCGCAGGCTTAGCATGTTAAGTGTGGGGCTGGGGTGGTAGGGAGCAAGGTCACAGGGTGCTGGGAGGAGGCTGGCTGGGGTGGCACTGGAGGGGCCTATGTACCCTACCCCTTCCCCCACTTTCTCTGCTGTCCTGGCAGTAAGGGCTGCCCAACAGGACCTCCATCCCGCTGCTTCCTCCAGGGAAAGGTGGCATTGTCCTTACCATCTGGGGGCTGGTGGAGAAACAGGCCAGGAGGCGTGAAGAGCCTTATGTCTTTTTTGGCTCCACCTTCCCCTCCACCTTCTGGTCTGTCTGAGCCTGATGGGCCCAAGAGTCACCTGGGGGCTCTTGGGCTGCCTGGAGTGCAGGCCCAAGGCTGCAGACTACTCAACCCTGACCCCCATTCAGGGCCTGTACCCTGAGAGTGTGAGCTATGTCCTTGGGGCCGGAGGACACACCTTCACCCTGCACCTGCGGATAAACAGGTAAGCAGGGGGCTGGCCCTCAGGTTGGTGCCCTGGCCAGCAACAGTGCAGGCTTCAGCACCTGCATCCCCCATGCTAGAGCTCAGGGAACTCCTGCGGTTCTTTTCCAGGGACCTGCTGGGCGTGGGCTACACAGAGACTTATTCAGCTGCCAATGGCTCTGAGGTGACAGAGCAGTGGCATGGGCAGGTAGGCATGGGGCTGCCTTCCTGGGGCCAGCAGGGCCATGGGAGCCAGACCTGTGACCTCTCACACTTCTACAGGACCACTGCCTCTACCAGGGTCACGTGGAGGGTCACCAGAGCTCTGCTGCTAGCCTCAGTACATGTGATGGCCTCAGGTGTGTACTCAGACCCTGGCAGGATGTCCCACTCTACAGACGGGTAAACTAAGGCCAAGAAAGAAGGGGCTTGGGATTAGACTTAGAGAAASACTTCCTTCTTGCACGTGTTTGAAACGTGCGAAGGCACTTGTTGGACTTCTGTGAGGAGTTTCCAGCCCTGCCAAGCCTGTGGGGTAGGCCCACCCAGCGTGCTCTCCTGCTTACTGGGCCCAGGTGTCACCCATGGGGAGTTTGTGTTACTGGTTGGGGTGCAGATCAGAGCCCCTGGTCTTCCCAGATGGGCAGGTGGGGATGGGCTGGAGATGTCCACTTTTTCACTTGGCTCCCCTTCTCAGGGGCTTCTTCCGGGTGGGCTCTGCCATCCATGTGATCGAGCCTCTAGATGGAGGTGGTGAGGAGGGGCAGCATGCAGTGTACCAGGCCAGGCACCTGCAGCAGAAGGCTGGGACTTGTGGGGTCAGCGATGCCAGCCTGGACAACCTTCTGGGGCCTCGGGTCTCAGCAGCCTTCAGGCCTCAGCCCCGGGTAAGCAACATCTTGCCCCACCTGGCTGGTCCTGCCCTGGTCCCTTTGCTTGGGCCTGGGTATTTCTGTCTGCAGCCCCAGAGCCATCCCCAAGCCCTGGAAGGTGGGTCTGGCTCAGACCCATAGCTGTGGAGCGGACTCTTTTCTGCCTGGAGCAGCCTGATGGTCCTTCCAACACTGGGCAGTGGTGGTCTCTGGGGCAGACTGTGCTGGAAAGATTGATGATTCTCCCCAGAACTGGCCCCTGTCCCGAGATACCCGCTATGTGGAGCTATATGTGGTCACAGACAGCAAGGAGGTGAGGGCATGGGGACAAGTGGGCTGGGCAGGTTGGGACATGGTGTTGGCCCAGCCTGAGGGTCCTGTGTCCCCAGTTCCAGCAGCTGGGGAGCAGAGAGGCCGTGCGCAGGCGTGTGCTGGAGGTGGTGAACCATGTGGACAAGGTGGGCTGCGGTCTTTGTAGGGCCCTGTGAGGGTTTCCAGCTCCTGCAGGGTTTTCAGGACCCCTCAGCAGCACAGGTCCATGGGGAGCCAGGTAGCTGGGGGAAGGGGGAGTGACCACAGTGGGTGGGGCAGGAAAGACAACCAAGAGAAGGTCTAACTCAGGGCTCTGTGTGTTGAGCTTGGGACCTGGTCTGCATCTGTGCCCTGTCCCCCAGAAGCAGATTGGAGGGCACCCCCTGCCTCCTACCTTACTGACCTTCCACCAACCAGGCCTGACCCAAGGATTTCTGTCTGCTGCAGTTCTATCAGGAGCTCAATTTCCGTGTGGTATTGGTGGGCCTGGAGATCTGGAGCAGGGACAAGGTCCCCATCAGCCCCCATGCCAACATCACCCTGGAGAACTTCCTTTCCTGGCGGGCACAGGACCTGATGAGGAGACACCCCCATGACAATGTGCAGCTCATCACGTGAGAGGGCCTGCACCCTAACCCACCATGGCAGGGCCCTGGCTGGCCCAGGCCTCTAGGGCAAACTCTCCAGGCAGAGCCATGAGGCCTGGGGAGGGGCCAGGGGAGCCACTTTCAGGCCATCAATGTCACGTGTGTTTCTAGGGGGGTCGACTTTACCGGGACCACCGTGGGACTGGCTCAGGTGTCTGCCCTGTGCTCTCGGGCCTCAGGGGCTGTGAATCAGGTAAAGGGCGCCCCTGTCCAGGTTTACTGGAACTGGCCTGTGGGTTGGCAGCCAGCCCAGAGGCTGAGCTGGACACATGGAGGCAGTCACACAGGTCCCTGGAGCACACCTGAGAGGCCACCTCCCTGGGGACGGGTTCAACACCTGTTTTTATGTTTTAAGGGGTGGTTAGCAGGAAGCGGCACCAAGCCCCAGGTGCTGAAGGTGAGGGAGCACCTCACCTTCTGGGTGGATGGGTAAGGCGCTGCCCCAGTGAGCTCAGCCCTCTGCACAGGACCACAGCCAGAACCCTATTGGCGTGGCATCCACCATGGCCCATGAACTGGGCCACAACCTGGGCATGAACCATGACGAGAATGTCCAGGGATGCTACTGCCCCGTGCCGCGGGAGGGTGGTGGCTGCATCATGGCGGCCAGCATTGGGTAAGCCTTGTGGGACACAGTGGGTGGGAAGGGGCAGTGTGACAATGGCCCCTGACAGCCATACCCCCTGCTCTCAGCTCCAAGTTCCCCAGGACGTTCAGCAGGTGCAGCAGGACTGACCTAGAGATGTTTCTGGAGAAACCCCAGACGGGCTGCCTGGCCAATGCCCCTGACCCTGACCGGCTGGTGGGAGGCCCTGTGTGTGGGAACATGTTTGTGGAGCGTGGGGAGCAGTGTGACTGTGGCACTCCCCAGGTATGTGCTGCCCCAACCCCACCCTCTGCTCCTCAGCATCAGGGATGTGGCCTCTGTCCTTGTGCTGAGATGACCACCCAAGCCAGGTGCCCTGTGCACCACAACACACATGGCTTTTGGGTGTCCCATGTCAATTCTGTTCTCCTTTGATCCCCAACAGTCTGTAAGGGGGTCCAAAGGAGAGTGGTCACTGGTTGCCCCTGGTGGTTGGTGGGGTCCATCCWCCCTGAAGTTGGCTCTTGCCCAGGGTGCAGCTGCTCATGCCCCTGTCTCCCAGGACTGTCAGAACCGCTGCTGCAATGCCACAACATGCCAGCTGGCTGAGGGGGCCAAGTGTGCCCATGGCACCTGCTGCCACGAGTGCAGGGTGAGCCCAGGGCAGCGGGTAGGAGGGCAGCCACACCAATAGCAGCAACTCCTGGGCCTGTTTCACATTGAACCTCTCTACGAGCCAGGTGAAGCCAGCTGGTGAGCCATGCCGCCCCCAGAGGGACCAGTGTGACCTGGAGGAGTTCTGCGATGGCCAGAGTCCAGCGTGCCCAGAGGATGTCTTCCAGGAGAACGGCACACCCTGTCCTGGGGGCTACTGCTTTAATGGGCAGTGCCCCACACTGGCCCAGCGGTGCCAGGAACTGTGGGGTCCAGGTAAGGCCTGTGAGCACAGGATACAGGCCAGCCTCTGGGGGTGGCTGTGGTCCTTGGCCAGGCTAATCTGCTCTAGCTCCTAGGTGCACAGGTTGCTGCAGACACCTGCTTCTCCTTCAGCATCTCTCCAGGCTGCAGAGACAGGATCACCCCCAGCATGGGCAGGTGAGCTGGACTGCAGAGGCCCAGGATATAGGATGTCCCCAGAAAGGAGTCTAGCTTTGTAGGGCAGGTGGCCCTCCAGGGGTTCACCCTGCCTTCCAGGATCCCAGCTTGACCTCAGCATCGTGGTAGAAGGGAGGAAGTAGGGTAGGGAGGGAAGGAGGGTTTTGCCTATCTCCTGGAGTGCAGGGCCATGAGCGTGGTGCACAATGCAGCTGGGACCATGCCCTGCCCTCCCTCTACAGGGCCGACAGATGTGGGGTCCTGTACTGTGCAGGGGGCCGGCAGCCCCCAGAGCGCAGCTCCTGTACACTCAGTTCCTACTCGGGCAATTGCCAAGCTCTGCGCATGGACAGCGAGGCCTCTGCCTATGAGCCTGTGCCCCAGGGCACCAGGTGTGATAAGGGGAAGGTGAGCTGAGTAGCCCAGATGCCCCATGCAGGCATGTGGGCAGCCCGGACACGAGTCCCACACAGGCCCCTCTGCAGATGGGTTTTCACACTCAGAGGTCTGTTGGTAGTGTGTGTGGGGGGTTCTCTGTACACTTTCAGGTGAGACTGAGGTGAGTGAGGGAGGCGGAGACACCTGTTCCCAGTTCATATTCTGGAACCCATAGCATTGCCGAGAACCCAGGACTCCAGAGGTTCTGGGCCTCCAGAGGCCTCCAGGGGTGGTCAGCTGACCTAGCCCTTTGGTTTTGAGAATAGGGCCAGGGCAGGGGTCCAGACAAGCTGCTTAGGAGGCCCCCTCTGCCTTCCAGATTTGCTGGGAAGGGCGCTGCCAAGACCTCCAGGTCTACAGATCCAAGAACTGCTCCGCCCAGTGCCACAACCATGGGGTGCGTGTGGCCTCAAGGGACAGCTGCCCCCTGCCTGGTGCCCCAGAAGCTGCTGCCATTGCCTGCATCTGACAGAGCCACTGGTGGTGGCAGCATTGGATGTAGGAATGGGGTCTCAGCCTTGCCCAGTGTGTCCATTAACGGGAGATCTCAGCAGGCCCCTTCTTGGGGCTGAGGCTGGAAGGGGTGACCTGGAATCAGGCCTGTGGTCATGCCCCCCTACAAGCCCAGGGTTGTGACCTGGGCAGGGGTGCAGAGGGCCTCTGCTTGCAGAGCTGGCTCAGGGCCTGCTGCACTATGGGCTACATTCCCTAAGGCCCTCTGTCCCTGCAGGTGTGCAACCACAAGAGGGAATGTCACTGCCACGTGGGCTGGGCACCGCCCCACTGTGCGGAGCTACTGACAGACATGCAGGCAGGTAGGGCCTTCAGGGCCAGGTCTAAATTCAAGGCTGCACCTGGTCCTTGTGAGGTGATATTTAGGGGATGGTTTGCAATCAACAGCCAGTCCTATGGCAGCCAGAAGGGAGCCTATGTCCCACCTCCTAGATGATTGAAGGTAGTGTCCAGCTCAGAGTAAAATATGCCATCCTCTGCCCAGTGCTCCGGCCCCTCTTCAGCCTGGCTGGGAACCTAGGGTCAGTCAGCCCCACAGTGTCTTCTTCCCCAGTGGCCACTGAGCATGTAGCTGTCCACAGCACCCCGACCTCAAGGGCCTGGCTAGGCTGCACCCATAGCACTGTGGACTCAGAACCTGCCCCCCACCTGCCATGCCTTCTGACCCTTTGCTGGAAGCTGGGAGCCCTGGAGCCCAGGGCATGGCCATGGCCGGCTGGGGAGGCTGAGGGCCCTCCCACCCAGGCTGAGGCCTGTGTTCCCCAGCACCTGGGAGTCTCCTGGTCAGCGTGCTGGTGCCCCTAGTGCTCCTGATGGCCATGCTGGCCACCCTGGCAGGCGTCATCATACACCGCAAGGTCTGGAGCCGTGTCCCCAGGAGGTGAGAACTCGCTGATTGCGACAGATCTGTGTGTGGAACATATACTTCCGGGCCTAGAGCTATTGGGAAAGGGCCTCCACTACTGTTTGAGGAAGAAGCCACTTCTCGCACAGGTGGGGGGTGCTGTGGACTGGGCTCCCGGGTGGCTGTAGCAGGGCTTGAGCCCAGGAGGTGGCTGGGACCCACCCACCTCAGGACTCTGCTGGGGCCCCTCCTTTCAGTGGCTCAGACAAGGGTGATCTGGGCTAGAGGTGGGGTATGGTAAGTCCAGAGATGGGGCCCCCACCCCAAAACCAGGACCATGAGCACCCCTTTAGGATCCTGCTGTGCCCTGGGCCAGTACCTTGACTCCAAGCCAGCTGCAGCAGGATAGATTTGCCTGGGACCTCTGAGCACCTCTCCAGTGTGACTGGGCCCCAGGGATTGCCCTTTCAGGGACATGCACTTGGTCTCCTTGTGTCTTATGGCTGTGACTATGTGCATTGCAGCCTGCATGGGGTCTGCCAGAGCAGAGGGACCCCAGGAAAACTAGGCTGGGGGGCACAGCCAGGAGACCTGAGCCCTGGTGAGGACACTGACTGCTATTTCCTCTCTTCCTCTCCAGGAGTGTAGCACCCAAGACCACCATGGGGCTCTCCAACCCCCTGTTCCAGGAGGCAGGCAGCAGTGGGCCAACCAAGGGCAGGCCTCCAGGGCCCCCAAAGCTGGTGTCTACCACGCACCCCAGCCAGCCCGTCAGAGCCACTGTGGCCCCAAAGAGGCTGCCCCCTGCAGTAAGCACCATCCCCTGAGAGGCACCTGGACCCTAGGACTCTCTCTGTCCCAGTGTATGACCCACTGGGGACATCATGTTAATTAACTCATATGTCCCTGTGTTGGCCTAGGGCCAAGAGAGGCTGCTGTGGTCACCTGTGGTGCAGGGTCCTAGGGTCTGGGAGTTCAGGGCTACCTTTTGGAGATCTGTATTTGGAGTTTGACCTTGAACTTGTGGCTCGGGGGGTTCTCAGCCTTCATTCTGAGAAGAGGACACCCCTGCTGCCTCCAGCTCTGGAATGTGGCCACATGGCTGAGGGATAGGGATGGCCTTGTGTCCAGGCTCAGGACCTGCTGGTTCAGGAGCTGGGGCAGATTTGTCACGCACGGAGAGGCTTTGTTTGCTTGGAGGGGCTTGATGGGCACTAGGTGGGCACTCAGCCTTGCCCTCTGGGACCAGGCTCACATTCCTGTCCCCTGCAGCCTCCAGTCATGTCCAGTCCACCCTTCCCAGTCCCTATCTACCCACAGAAGGCACCAGACCAGGTGAGTGGCCTTGATTGGGATGACCAGGTGTTCTGAAAGTATCTGAGCTGTCCCAGGAAGCAGGGGGCCTGGTGGCTGAATGGGGGGGCTGAGGCACAGGGAAGGCAGGTGAGCCTGGCCTAGGATGACATTAAAATGATTCCGTGAAGCCATGGGGGCCAGGGGGGCACAGACCAGTCCTCTAGACTTGAGATAGGACTGCTATGTGGGGTCCTGACTCCTCTCTCCCCATCAGCTCAGACCTGCTCCACCCACCAAGCCCCTCCCAAAGCTGAAGCCCAAGCAGGTAAGAAGCCTCCGCCTGTGGGGCCCTCGCCAGCCCTCATGGCACTTCCCTTGGGATGTGGCTTTGGGCTTTTGAAAAGGTGTCTCGCCGTGTGGCTCACTGGAGCCTTGCAAGTTGAGGTCAATTCCCGGACTCCCCTTTGCCCCTGCAGCGTCACAGGCCTTCCCCTAGCTGGGCTGCCTGCCCCAATGGGTACCCCTGGAGTCCCTCCCCCACCCCATGTCGCTCCCATTCCTAGAACCTGTGGGAACAGGTGGGCCCTTGAGCACTACCTCAGCTTCAGCCCTGGATGTCACTCTGTGACCATGGACCGTTCCCCTCCCGCTGGGCAAACTCAAGCTGCAGGACTGACCCAGCTTTCTCTCCTGGTGTCTGGCATGGCCCCATCTGTACAGGTTGGCTGTCCACCAAGTGTTGCTGGATGCCCTCCCAGGCAGGCCTCTGTCTACCTCTAGGTGGTCAAAGGTGGGGATCATGGTGGGCAGCTGAGGGCTGGGAAGAACCACAAAGTGGCAGGGTCCTAAGAAGTCTCCCCAAAGGTGGCTTGTGTGGGGCCTGAAGGTAAACACCCTTCCCTGCCTTAGGGAATTGTTTAATTTTAATTGCCAACAAATTTTAGATTTATAGAAATTGCAGAGATGGCAGAGTCCTTGTGTTCCCTCCATAGTCCTCCGGGTTAGCATGGACACAACCTGAGCTGCTCCTGCCTTCATGAGCAGGCAGTGCTTGGCCCACATGGTGCTCCTGGGGCCCAAGAGGCTCTTGGTCCTCACCTTGCACTTTGCAAATGTTGGCATAGTTTTGTCCCTTGATTTGGGTTTGTCTGCTCATCGTGAGTTGTCAGAGATGATGGGTTTGGGGCAGGAATAGTGAGGGAAGTGTCCTTTCTAGGATGTTGCCCAACATTATCCTGGGCCTGGTCCCTCATATCTTGTCACAGGGATGTGACACATGGCTTGGTTGTGTCTGCAGTTTCTCCCTCTGAGCTATCTGGTTAATGAACACAGAAGACAGGCCATTGAGGATTCATGATTCTCTCTTCAAACTGGCCCACTAGTGTTATCACCCATAAGTAACTTGACCCCCAACAACTGTTACCATGGCGTTTGCTTACTAGTGATTTTCTCTTTCCTTTTTAACTTTTTGTTTTGAACTAATTTTAGATTTACATATGAGTTGCAAAAATAGTCCCAGGAGCCAGGCTCTGAGGCACAAGCCTATAATCCTAGCACTCAGGAGGCTGAAGCAAGAGAATCTCAAGGCCGAGGCCAGCCTGGGCAACTTAATGAGAGCCTGTCTCAAAATAAAATAAAAAGGTCTGGGAGTGTAGCTCAGTGTCAGAGTGACCCTGGGTTCAATTCCCAGTACTGGGGGGGGGGGGGGGGGGAAAAAAGACCTAGAAAGGGTCTTAATGGGAAGAACAGGGACAGAAATGGGCAGAGATATTTCTAGCCAAGGACAAGGAAAAGCCAGGCAAGAAGGAAGGCCCGGGTGGTCTCCGGTCACACTGTGCCTGGTCTGAGGAAGGGAAATGCTCCACAGTGCAGCGTCTTCCCATGTTGCTGAGACCTACAGTGCTCACCCCAAGGTACCCTTCTCACAGTCCCCCTGCCCTGGGAAAGGATACATGCTTTAGTAGTTAATTATTGGTTTTTGAGCTTCCAAAGACCCACATTCTGGCAATTAAAGAAACTTTCAGGGATGATGAGAGGGTGCAGGTGATGCTGCAGTGGCCTGGGTAGTTTGCCAGGACAGGGAGCTCCTCTGCACTGGGGCTTTAGCTGTCAGGTGGCACGGCCATAGAGGGCATTTCCACAAAGAGCTTAGCAGACAGAAGCCTGCAGCCCAGTAGGAGCAGAGCAGAGGGCCATGGGGAGTTAAGTATGGGCCAAGGCCTGGCCCACTTAAGTGGCCTCTTCATCAGCTGTTTCTGCTCCCTCCCAGCCTGTCAAGCCAACCTCTGCACCCCCGTTGCCACCTGTCAAGCCCAGTGCTGGAGAGACCACACCTGGAATGACTCAGGTGAGCCTCCCCTGCACACAGTTTGCGGTCTACCTGTGCCAGATGTAGAGAGCTGCCCCACTCCTGACTGGCACTGCCCTGCAGTGTATATGTGTGGCATGGGGAGGGGATTGATTTCTTTAAATTATTGTCTGACAAACTTTGGGGATTATCTGGGAGAAGAAAAGAAAAATTCATTAATTTTGTTTTAATAATCTGTCAGAGGACTTTTCAGTGACTGTCACTTCAACTGGCTGTCAATTTTGCCTTTTATCCCTATTAGAATAAGCAAATCTACCCTCCATATAAAGTATTAGCCATTAATACTGTGGCTACCACAGCTGTTGTCATTGTATGACAGCACAGACTTACTGTTGGGTGAACTAAGAATATACATCTTAAGAAATATGAAAGGTGGGGCTGGGGTTGTAGCTAAGTGGAGGAGTGCTTGCCTAGCATGTGTGAGGCACTGGGTTCGATTCTCAGCACCACATATAAATAAATTTAGAAAAAAAAAAAAAAAGAAATATGAAAGGAGGGCCGGGATTGTGGCTCAGTGGTAGAGCGCTTGCCTAGCATGCATGAGGCACTGGGTTCAATCCCTGGCACTACATAAAAATAAACAAATAAAATAAAGGTATTGTGTCCATCTACAACTACAAAAAAGAAAGAAAGATGAAAAGAGCCTGGTGCAGTGGCCTACGCCTGTGGTTCCAGGGGCTGGGGAGGCTGAAGCAGGAGGATTGCAAGTTCAAAGCCAGCTTCAGCAACTTAGTGAGACTCTGTCTCAAAAAATAAAGAAAGGGCTAGGGATGTTGCTAAGCGGCTAGGGGTGGGGAATGAACTGTGAAAGGGAATATCTCTTGTGCCCTTCGTAGCACCTGATTTTTAACAGCAACCTGTCTTTCTCCTGTAAGGGGGTCAAAGGCCCCAAAGTCGCGCTGAAGCCCGCCGTCCGAAGGTGACAAGGGCGCCGGCCCAGTGTCCAGCCACTGCACAAGTCTGGAGAGGCACTTCGGAACCAAGCGCTGGCATCCCGGGCTCACTACCTGGGCCTCCACGGACCTGGCTGGACGCTCGGCTCCACTCAGGACTCTGGCCTGCTCGGCCTTGCTGCCAGGGGCCAGTGCTCGCCGCCGGGGCCCGCACCGCGGCGTGTGCGAGCGCTGGGGCGGGTGCACCCGGGCGGCCACCAGCGAGGGCGGCGCGGCGTCTCCGGCTTCCTAACAATAAAGAGCTGTTTCCCAGCAAACTGTCGCGCCCGTTCTGTGGGGGGGGTCCTCGGCACACAGTCAACCTCCCTCGGGCCCGGGACTTAATCACCAGCCCTCGGGGTTCCCAAGAGCTCCCCCCGGGCCCACCGAGCAGCCAGGGCCCGTCAGGCCGGACCCGCCCCTTCCGTCTCCCCGCCCCTTCCGTCTCCCCGCCCCCAGCCCTCCTTGGGCCCGCCCCTTCCGCCTCGTCTCCCGGCAACAGCTCCACGCCAGACTGTGCCCCGCCCCTTCTGGTCCGTCTCCGGGCCACAGCCCAAGCCTTCTGCCATGCCGGGCTCCGACAGGCGGTCTCCTGCGGCGCTAGGGCCGCTGCCGGACGCCCTCCGTGGCCTCTGTGCCTGGCTCGACCAACTCCCGCTCAGCCGCCCCAAGCGCCACCTGACCCGGGACTTCAGCGACGGCGGTGCGGGCGGAGCCGGGGAGGCAGGGCGCGGTGGTAGACGAAGGTTCCCGAGGGGTGGGGACGCCTCTGCGTCCAGCTGCATGTTCCCTGGGGAAGGTGGGGTGGGGTGGGGCGGGGGGACAACRCAGGCCTCCATCTCTCATCTCCCCGGGTGAGCACTGGCTGAGCCACCCCAGTTCTCTTAGCACATGGTCCCTCCCAGATCCACGTTCAGAAGCCCCAACCAAGTCTCCAGGACAAGCTGGTGCTTTTCCTGCATGCATCTCAGGAGGCCTTAGGAACGGTAGCAGCCAGGCCTGAGCTGGACATGCAGGCTGACCCTTCCTCCATCCCCTCAGTGCTGGTGGCCGAGATCGTGAAGCATTTTCACCCGCGCCTGGTGGACCTGCACAGCTACATCCCTGCCTGCAACACTGACCAGAAGCTAAGCAACTGGAGCCTTCTCAACAGGCAAGGGCTCCAGAGGGTTTCCAAGGCTGGCCTGGGGAGCCAGCTCTTTTGGACCGAAAGGTGGTAGCCAACACACCAGAACCATTGATCCCATCCTGTGTGCACTGAGGGAGAAGGGGAAGGCTGGCAACAAGTTTCCAGCTGTGGGTGCCAGACCCTTTTCAGTGCCAGTTCTGTCCACAGATCCTCACCCTCAACCTAGGTTTCCAGGGCTCTCCCTGTCAGTGTGGGTCTGCTTCCCAAATCACTCATTATCCAAGGGAACCAGGCTGTGCTCCAGAGCTGCAGACTGGCATTGGACAGGTCCCTGCCTTCATGGAGCAGGGAGTCTCATGGTCAGCAGATGGATAACAAAATGTGATCAAAGTTTCGGGTGTGGTAAATGATGTGAAGAACAAGGGCCAGGGTGGGGCAGACATGTTGCAGGTCGGGGAACAGGGAAGGCTCTGAGGAGTAACAGTGTAGAGTGATGGGGGAGACGTGTGGATGTGCAGGAGGGAGTGGAGAGTCCTAGGGGTTGGCCCAGAGGTCTTGGAGGCCACATGAGGGCCAAGCCTCCAGTTGAGGCAAGTCAGAGGCGCTGCAGGGCTCAGGCCTGGGCACATTCTGAGGCTGCTTGCATTTCGAAGGGCTGGAGTGGAAAGGACCCTAGGGAAGATGAGGGCATTGCCCTGACCCAGGGGGGAAAGGGTGCCTGCCGTTGGTCAGCCCTCTTGTGTGAGAGGAACTCAGATTCCACGTGTTTGGGAGGTAGGTCCGCAGGACTTCTCAGATCAGAGAGCAGCATCAGTCAGGAAGATGGGTACTTGTGCACAGTCCTTGAAAAGCCTGGCCTGACAACCTGGCGCGCGAAGTGTTCTGTGGCCCCCTGATGGGGTATGGGCCACCCATCAACCGAGTGACCACTGGGCCTCTGGGGGTGCAGGCAAAAAGGGGCCTCACTCAGCTTCTCCCCTCCCAGGAAATCAGGCACTAGGCTGTGGCTCAATACCTGGCCCCGGGGGGCATTGCTCTGAGGGAGCACCTTGCTGCTTTGCAGGAAAGTCTTTCGCAAGCTGTGCTTCTGTGTCTCTGAGGAGGACATCCGCAAGGTGGTAGCCAATGTACCTGGGGCAATCGAGCCCATCCTGTGTGCACTGAGGGAGAAAGTGGAAGCCAACCCTGCTCAGGCAGGCTCACCTGGCACAGCTCTTCATGTCTGCAAATTGGTACAGCCCAGGAACAGGCTGCATCCGTTCCCATTTGCATACAGTCAGATAATCTGCTATAAGAGATAAAGCCCACAAATAAATGGTGACAGAGCCCCCACTCGCTGTGGCCCTGTGGTCCAACTGAGGCAAGCCTCACATGAGGCTGCTGTCCCCATCAGCTMCCTGCCCTGAGTGCTGCTGTCCCTCACTCCCTGCCCAGCCTGACCCACCTGCCTCAGGGTGGTGAAAACACCCCGTCCCTTGGGACAACCCTACCCATACCAGCTCAGTTTCCCTGCCCCTTCCTGTCCTCCAGTTTGCTCCCTCATCCCCACCCCAGAGTGGTGTCTGGGAACACAGCAGGCACATTCATCTTCTACATTTCACTTCCCATCCTGTAGAATCTGCAGGATCCAGGATTCTCCAGCATGGATGCTGTCCATTCACAGGCAGGTAGGACTCAAATCCCTGTTGCAGGCAAGATTGACCTATCAGAGGCCCTCTGGTCCTCCTGTGAGGGGCGTTACCACATTCCCAGACTGCCCTGTGGCACTTGCAGGCTCACACACCTGAAAAAGAGGGCCCCACAGGCCCCTGAAAATAGTTTCACTTGCAGACACCTAAGATGGGGCCCTGGCTCCATCCACACCTGGAGAGCAGTCCCCTAAGGGGAGTCCACAGACCCTTCGTTGTGTCTCCAAAGGGAGCACACTTCAAAGTCGTCCCAGGCTGTGCAAGCCCAGCACGATGGCATCTGAATCTGCCTAACCTGTGGTCTGAGCACCCTCCCACCACACATACAGGTGCACACCCTTAGAGGCAGGGGACCTGAGCTGATGGTGTCTGTCTATGACACAGGCCTGCTAAGCCCCCCAGCTCCCACCAGTATGAAGACCCTTCAGAAGCAGAGGGCCTTGGAGAAGAAGGGCAGCTGTGCTTGTGAATGGTAGGCCCTGTCTCTCAATCCCTCTTCCAGGCCTCCCTCTCCCCTGACTTCACCAGCTGGATTAAAGTGTGGTATCTGCCTTTCAGTCAGGACCCAGCTGAAGGGGCTTGGGAGCACCTGGCCAAGGTTCAGCAGTTGCTGGAGGACAAGGAGCAGGCATTGGCCATTCTGCAAGAGACAGTCCAGGTATGGCCCAGCTGGGCACTCCTTCCCAGACATCCTGAGCTGCAGGATGGGGAATCAGAGGGACCTGCTGCCTTTGCTGTGAGCAGCTTCAGTCCAGTCCCCAGCTGAGTTCTTGCCACGCTGGCTCTGTCCCAGAGCAGGGTTTAGTAGACAGAACCTTGGCAGGAAGAGTCCACATTTAGTTTGATTATTTAGAAAACCATGTGTGGAATATTCCAGTCATACCCAGAAGCAGAGAAAAGAGTATAAGTCCTTCCCACCACCAGGTATCTACTGCCAGCCTTACCACCTTATCAGTCGTGAGCCCGTGTGCTGGGGCCACAGGCCAGGCTCCAACAGAAGTGCGGGGCCCAGGTCAGGGAGCAGAAGATGCTCCCTTTCTGGGAAGTGAATGGGGTGGGGTGCTGATGAGAGTCTCCTGCTTGCTCCATTCCAGCCTGGGTGGGACCTCTTCCTTCTCCCCATCTCCCAGGGGGCCAGGGTCTGGCAAGCATCTCCAGCCTGGAGCTCTGTGGGCACATAGGTCTGTGTTGCTCACCTGTTTCTATTGTGCTTAGCTGGCTCTGTGGTGCTCACCTGACTGCAGGCACACACCTGTCCCTCTGCTGTCTCACAGGGGCCTCCAGGGTTCCTGTGCTCAGAAGGGCTCCTGCTACTCTTGCCTCTCCCCAACCTCGGCAGCACAGGTGGCAGCCCAGGACCCATGACAGTGTAGGGGAGGGGCAGGCCTGCTGGATGGGCCTCACTGTGGCAAGGCATCAGAAATYGCAACAGCATCTCAGTTCCTGAGACCAGATCTTGATGAGTAGTCTTCTTGAGAAAACAGGAAAGTGATATCACTGTGTGGCTTTGGGTGTGCTGAACGCCCTCTTGTCCCCAGAGGGCCAGCAGAGAGGAAGCGGTGGGGAGAAATGGAGGGCAGCGCACAACCCTGGCTGTCCCCACTCTGGCTCTGGCTTGTGGGCCGACCCCGAGAATCATAAGAACTTCATTTTAGAACACCCAGAGAGGAAACAGCTCAACCTGCCACCTAAGGGTTGACACATCGAGGGCCGTTTGTGTGTTACAAAGTGAGATACAAACCTTGGAGTCAGAGAGACCCCAAGAGTCATCGTGGGGCAGTTTATGTGGTGGTGGGTGGCAGCTGGAGTGTCGCCCTGGTCACTCTGCCCCTTGCAGCTTGTCACTGAGCCAGGGGCACTGGCAGGGTGGCCAGGGTGTGGGCCAGGTGGAGCAGCCACACCACCTTCAGGCTCAAGGAAGGTCCGTGTCTTGTTTTGAGTGACAGGAGGCCACCCCTGCCCACCTCCCCACCTCATGCAGCCTTTTCACACTCCTGACCTTCACCTGGACACATGGTTTGGAGCAGACCAGCTTTTCTAATCCAGATTTCCCCATTTCTCACTTGGGGCACATGACAAGGCCCATGCTTCTAGATGGGGAAGGTTTGGGATATGGTCATTTTGAAGCAGGTGTGGAGGGCCACAGGCACCCCAGCCTGAGCCTTGCTGTGGCCACCATGTCCGAGGCCAATGTCTCCAGAGGGCCTTTCTGCACCTTCATTCAAGGTCTTCTTGGGTTTCCAACTTTTAGAAGTAAATACCAAATAAACCATCTAACTGCTGTGTGTTCATTCGGTCAACTGTTAACTCAGCAAAGATGCCCCRAGCACCTGCCAGACCCTGGGCACTAGGCTCATAGGGTGAGGGCCCAGGCCCTGCCCTACCCATGCCCACGCCCTTCCACCTGGAGCCGGGGGCAGGCTGGGGGGCCAGGGGAGCTCCAGGAGTAAGCATAGGGATGGGAAGAGGAAAGCCATCCCTCCCAGGACCCCCCACCCCAGGTTCCTGAGACTCATTTCCCATGGGGCCCTCCTGAGACTCATTTCCCATGGGGCCCACATCCGTTCCTTCCCGCTGTCCCCACGAGAGGTCCTTTGGTCCTGCCTCTGCTGTGTGGCACTCATCCCCAGAGGCTGAAAGCACACATGTGGCCTGGCTGTTTGGAGGCACCTGATGTTCCTCAGACCTGCCTGGCTTTTTGAAGATTTTGCAGATGAAGGTGATAAAGCTGGAGCACCTGGTGCAGCTGAAGGACCTGCGGATCGCAGAGCTGACGCAACTGGGGACTGAGGAGTGCTGTGTGCCCCCGGGAGCCCCATCCTGAGCCAGCCAGACCCTGACCTTGAGCCATGCAGAGCCTTCCTCCCACCAGTGGTTCTTCTGCGCATCCCTGCACTGTCCAGCAGGCTCCGGGAGGGACATCTGTATAAGGCACAGGTTTAGAAGCTAGAGTGGGGGTTGGGTTCCTGCTGGGGGTCACCTGGGGCCATGCTGCCCCACAGATGGGTTTGGGGCACAGCCAGGGGGATTCCCTCCAACCCCACGTTTCATCACTGCATCTGTGAACACGAGGTTGTGCTGTGTGCTCTGTCTGGGCCTTGGGGTTGTGGCCCAGGGGGTGGGAATCATGGAGGTGAGCCACACCAGAGTCTGAGAGATTCCACAGACAGGGCCCCAGGAAGGCACCTCCATCTGCGCTGGGCTGTCCTGTGGAGGGAGGGCCTGAGGGCCATGAGAGGCCCTGAGAAAGTGAGCTGCCCACCTCACCTCCTCTGCCTAGGGAGGCTTTGGGAGCCAGGGTGGGGGTGGAACCTGGGCCCACGGGCCTCTGCAGGCTTCATTGATCCTTGACCTGCTGCCTCCTCACTTCTGGGGTATCTCAGGTCAGGGGCACTGCGTGACCGAGGTGCACCTGACACTGGTCAGCTAGAGGCGCAGGGCTGCGACTGGCTGGCCTCTGGGCCTGCACCTAGGGCTGGGCTGACTGCAGCCCCACTGCCTCACCCCAGCGGCCCTCCCTCGGGGCCAGTTCCTGTCCTCCCGGGAGGAGTGCCGGCTCGGGTCAGGGTTTCAGGACCCATTTCCTCCCTGAGTCAGAGGCACATCCTGCTGCCCCTGCCCACCTGACCCTGAGTCACTGCACAGCCAGGAAGGCAGCTTCCTGATGACGGGCTCTGTCACCATCATCCTCGTCAGCAGCCTGGTGCCCAGAGCACTGCCTCTAGGAGAGCACCCCCAGCCCAGATGGCCAGGGAGGGGGATAAGGAGGGGGACAGCTCAGCTGTAGGTGGCCCCACGAATTCCTGATGTCAGGAGTGGGGAAGTCTTTTCCTAAATCCCTAAGAGATGGGAGCTCCCACGTCCCCGTGGCAGAGCTGTCATGGCACCTGGGGGCAGGGCAGGAAATACATGGACCAGGGCCAGGCCTCCAAGTCAGCACAGGCCCTGCAGCTTCAGACCCCATCCAGCTGGCCTGGCTGCTACTCTAGGCTGAGCCTGGGAATTCCAGAGGCCCCAGCACCTTCTCTCTCCTTCCCTGGCCCCTTCAGGGCCCCTCACTACCCCCTGGGGCAGTGACAGTACAGAGCCAGCTGCTCTGCTCCAGCAGAGCATGACATGCTTGACATGACTGCACACATGCATGTGCATGGCCAAACACATGTGCATCACACACAAACACAAATGCTCACACATGAGGCTGGTTGGCTTCTTGTTGAGGCTGAGTATTGGCCTGAAGGAAGGCAGAGGCTTTGTATGTGTGTGTGCGTGTGTGTATGTTTGCAGGTAGCACTGTGGGTTCACATACGTGACACTGTGCATGACACTCCATGGGTGTGCGTGTGTGTGACTGACACCATGTGTGGTGCTGTCTGTGACCAGGGGTGTGTGATTTGATTCTGCATGTGTGGTGCTGTGTGCACGTACACACACAGGCACACCACTATGCTGCTGGCGCAGGTGGCCATGGCAGGGGCAGGGCCAGGTGGACCCAGGGGCTGTGTTTTCTGATGCTGTGAGGTTGTGCGAGGGTGCCCTGGGCTGTCTCCGTGGTCCACATCTGCCTGCTGGGCCCTGTGGGGCTGGGCCTGGGGTTGAACACAGGATGTAGCTCAGGAAATGGAAAACAAGGCCCAGGGTGACAGTACCACTCTGGGAGGGACCCACTTCCCACTGGATCAGGTGCCATGCCAAGGACAAGAAGAGCCAAATAGGTGTGTCTTGGAAGCCTGGAGGCGGGCAGTTGTGCTCCACTCACCCGGAACACCCTGTTCAACCGAAGCTCGCCCACCCCACTCCAGGCCCCCAGGAGGTTCCCTACAGGGTCCAGGCAGAACCTCTGTGCAGGGCCCTGCAGCCAGGGTGGGACTGCATCCCACTGTCAGAGTTTAACTCTAATGCTGGAGTCTGCTGGGGGGTGGAGCCTGGAGGGTGCCCGCCCCCAACAGCAACCTGGGCGGGGCCACTCAGCCATCGCATGGTGGCATCTGCACAGTGTCTACTCGAATGAGGTGCTGAATCCTGGGCCACTCTGCCTGCAGAGCCCCTCCCAGACTCTGGTTGTGTGCTGGGCAGAGAGTCTTGCCCTGGACCAGCAACCTGAGAACCTGGCTCTGGGACCCCCTGTACTCACAGCTCCAGGCCTTTGTGTCTTGGGCAACCATGATCCCCTTCCCACCCATACCCTGTTGCTCTCAGGAGGCCCAGCTCTGCTGTCTGTGTGCCCAGGGGGCTTCCCATGGGACCTCAGCCTGGGGCTTAAGCATCAGGAAAGTAGGCCACTCACACCATGAGCCGCCCCGGAGCTCCTGCCCTGGCTGAGGGACACCTGGTCTCTGGGGCTGGGGGAGGTATGCCTGGCACAGGCTCACCAAGTAAAGGCTTCTGGACCCTGTCTGGGGAGGGCGGCCCCAGCACCACCCCTCTTGTTCCTGCTGGTCCCCTTCCGCCCATGCACTGTGCCCCCCACCCTGGGAGGTAGGGTCTGCCCCCACCTGGGACCCAAGCCTTCTGACACCAAGATGGCCTGATCCAGGGCTCTTGGGTCAAGTGCTTCAGGGTCCCCAGGAATGTTTGCTGTTGGGGTTAAAGGTTAAAGATTCTCCAGGGACAGCAGGATGGGAGGCAGCATGCAGGGGGTCGCTGGCACCTGAACTCCAACTAGCACTGAAGTGCATGCTTCACTGCAGTGCACTGTGCTTGCTCACAGAAGCACTGGTTTTGGCCACAGTGCAGAGATGTGGCGACACTAGGGAGCAAGCAGCAGAGCATCATCCACCCAGACCATGCAGGCACTTCACACACGTGGAAAAGGTGGAAACGGGAATGTGCTGGATGCTCCTGCCCCAGGGCCAGGCCAGCAGGATTAGCTAGAAAGGAGGAGGGTGCCCCAGCCTCTCAGGCAGACTTTCCAGTGTGCTAGGTATTCCACAGCTGAGCAAAAGTGACGCAAACCTGTAATCACAGCAACTCAGGAAGTTGAAGCAGGAGAGTCACACACTTGAGGCCAGCCTGGGCAACTTAGCGAAACCCTTTCTCAAAAAAAAAAAAAAAAAAAAAAAAGGGCTGGCTGGGTATATAGCTCAGGGGTAGTGCATCCCTGGGTTCAGCCCCCAGTACTGCAAAAGAATGATAAGTTTCAAGGGGAACTTCAGGGTACTCGAGGTGTGAACTGAGCTGCTACCATGCTGTCTGCAGAGGCCTGGGTGAGGGCTCCTCACCACTTCCTCATTTGCAAAATTGGGAAGTGTTGGAGCCCACCAGTGGCTCTGCTCCACCCCCTAGAGGTGGCCAGCTCACTGCCCCTGGCCCTCAGCCCTTGGCCAGGGTGGCCCTAGGGCCAATCCAGTTTTCTTGTTCCTTCGTGGCAACACTGGTCAGCAACATGGCAGCCCTGGATTTTAACGAGAGGGCCTGAATTTCTTCATTTCCTTTCCTTTTATGCCTTCCTCTTCTGATCCAAAAAGGACTTGAGAGGGCTCTTGCATGAGCCATATCAGCCAGAAATTAGCCGGGACTGCTGGGGAGGGCGCCTGGGTCACGGAACTCCTCTCTGTAGGTAGGGAGAACACAATATTGGCATCCAATTGGCCCCTTGACAGCCCGGGGCCAGCTCCCAGTATACCCCACTGAGGCCGGTGCCTGGATGGCCAGGGCCCGCCCGCGCAGGCTCCAGTGCTTCTGAAGATGGGAAGACATTTCAGAGCCCAACCGAAACGCCACATCTGACAGCTCTAGCCAGCAACCTTGGATGCTGCACCCCTGCCTGGCTCACGCCCTCATGGAGAGAGTGAGGAGGATAACAGGGTGTTCTGCCAGGACGTAGGAACCCCAGAATGACTGCTAAGTAAAGAGGAGATGCTGAAGGGGCTGGCAGCTCTGGCCAGGGAGCAGTGGCTGCAAAGGCCCTGGGGACAGGCTGGGGCTGAGGTGCTGGAGTGGGGAATGCAGGCAGGTGGCTGGATTGAAGAGACTGGACACACACATTCTAGGCGCCACTGCTGGAGTCCATTCTTGCACTTTAGAGGACCAGGCGGGGTGGACCCAGGGTCAGGGCTGTCATGGGGTGTGGTCAGAGGTGCTGGGGGCCATGCCATGAACTTCCTCAGCTGGGAGGCTCTCTGTACCCACTGCACATAGCCTTCTGCGTGGTTAAGATTCTCTCATCATTTGAGAATGAATGTCAGGGGGAAATTTGCTGACTCCCTAGGCTGCATGGAGCCGGTAGAGGTGATGTCTCTGGTGGCCAGAGACTTATGCTGAGCAGGTGCTGTCATGAAACACTGCAGTGTCCACTCAGGTCCAGCCTGGGGCAGTGACTCAGCATACCAGTAACTGCCCAAAGGTGACCAGAGAAGGAGGACAGGGACATCACAGAAGTCCAGTGTGTGGTGGAAAGGGGTCTTCAGAGTGAAAGTGACTGTAAGTGTGCCTCAGGAGGCCTTGGGGGACCCCACTCTCAGACACCCTGGGTGAGGACCCCTGCTCAGATGCGTCTGGAAGGTTGCGTGCTCGGCCCATGGAGCTGTTCCCGGCTGGTCCTGTCTCAGCTGCCTCCAGGCCTGCCTGAGGAGGCATCTCTGGGTTAAAGTCACAGCCCAAGTCAGGGGGACCTGCTAGGTGCCCCAGAGAACACTGGTGTTGCCATGAAGCGGGAGGTGGGTGACCTTGAGAAAACCCATCGTGGAGTCCGGAACCTACACAAGGCCAGCAGCTAACATTGGCCTTGTGGCCAAAGCCTACTTGGTTCTCGGCTGCGGGTCTCCGTGGTGACAAGGAACTGTCTTATAATCAGGAAGCCAGGAAAGCAGTGGTTCCTAAGCATGTCTGCGAGTGTCCTGCTGTGGCTGTTTCGCGTGTCCGAAGTCCATTTCCATGACTTGGAAAGGGACAGACATTCATGCTTGAAAAGAAAATATGAAAACTCCCTCAAGAGCCGTC